TTGCAATTCTGGAAAACAAGAAATTCTACGAGTATAACGACAATCGCTTTGGAATGGTGGAGCGCCTCAGAAGTTCTCTCGAGTTTCGAGGCCATCATCCGTCTGAACCGTGGGCCGAAATATTCCTACATGGGGTCGTCAACGATATGACGAAGGTAAAGTAGGAAGTGCTAAAATATTGCAAAGAATCCAATAAAAATTGCTAGAAGAATAAAGTCTACAGATACATATGATGGATATGACTAGTTTCAGTCCTAACGGGACTGTTATTCCCACGCAGGAATTCGACACTATAAAATGGAATTGCTATAAAAGAGCAACACCTGGGTTGATGCAGGCGCTTTTCACCAGAGAAACTATGGCAACCCATACTTTAACTGGAAGAGCCAGTAACGCTATCCTTCACACCGATAGGCAACCGAGACCGCAGTTAAATGTTGAAATGGTTGAGGATATCACGATAATTGTTGTGCAAGTGTGCAGATGAGCACAAAATGGCGCAGATGGCTAGAAGATCCAAGCGTTAGACAAACAAAATGTGTACAATTTTATTTAAAATTTATACAATTTTTTTTACGTACTTTTATATTTATTTTCATACAAATATGAAAATCCTTTATTTCTATCAATTCTATGAAATTCATTGCAATTCTGGAAAACAAGAAATTATACAAAAATGTCGATGATATGAAAGTACACGCGACAAGTTGGTAAGGTTGCAATACTTTAAGATGTCGATATTTATGTTTCACACCACTTTCGACAATTCCGATATTCTACGAGTATAACGACAATCGCTTTGGAATGGTGGAGCGCCTCAGAAGTTCTCTCGAGTTTCGAGGCCATCATCCGTCTGATCCGTGGACCGACATATTCTTACATGGGGTCGTCAACGATATGACGTAGGTAAAGTAGGAAGTGCTAAAATATTGCAAAGAATCCAATAAAAAATGCGAGAAGAATAAAGTCAACATATACATATGATGGATATGACTAGTTTCAGTCCTAACGGGACTGTTATTCCCACGCAGGAATTCGAGCCAATAAAATGGAATTGCTACAAAAGAGCAACACGTGGGTTGATGCAGGCGCTTTTCACCAGAGAAACTATGGCAACCCATACTTTAACTGGAAGAGCTAGTAACGCTATCCTTCACACCGATAGGCAACCGAGACCGCAGTTAAATGTTGAAATGGTTGAGGATATCACGATAATTATTGTAGAGAGATGCAATGTTCGAAACAGTGATGTACGTAAAGTTATAACACGCAAGTGTGCAGATGAGCACAAAATGGCGCAGATGGCTAGAAGATCCAAGCGTTAGACAAACAAAATGTGTACAATTTTATTTAATATTTATACAATTTTTTTTACGTACTTTTTATTTGTATGAAAATAAATATTTAGAATAAAAATTTAATCTTTTTGTATTTCATTAGTCTATACAAATTTCAAAAAAAAATTCTTCTTTTAAATTATTAGCTGAAAACCGTAACTATTATTACTAAAATCCTTTATTTCTATCAATTCTATGAAATTCATTGCAATTCTGGAAAACAAGAAGTTATACAAAAATTTCGATGATATGAAAGTACACGCGACAAGTTGGTAAGTTTGCAATACTTTAAGATGTCGATATTTATGTTTCACACCACTTTCGACAATTCCGATATTCTACGAGAATAACGACAATCGCTTTGAAATGGTGGAGCGCCTCAGAAGTTCACTCGAGTTTCGGGGCCATCATCCGTCCGAACCTTGGACCGACATATGGCAACCCATAGTTTATCTGGAAAAGCCAGTAACGCTTTTCTTCATACCGATAGGCAACCGAGACCGCAGTTAAATGTTGAAATGGTATTAATAATTTTTTTTATTTCTATCAATTCTATGAAATTCATTGGAAAACATTCTGGGGGAGCAAAACCGGGATGAAAGTACACGCGACAAGTTTGTAAGGTTGAAATACTTTAAGATGTCAATATTTATACCTTCCAAAATTCTACGAGAATAACGACAACCGCTTTGGAATGGTGGATAATGTATAATTGTAGTTAATATTAATTAACATATCAAATTAGCGTAATTTTATAAATAGTTAATTTATGTGAATAGTGTATGTATTTTGTTATAAATTGAGTCTTCCTACCTTTAGCCAGAAAATTGCTTTATAATAATAAAAAAAAGTAGAATATTACACAATTACCTTATCTCAAAAACTAAACGATATATCTCTTATTCATTTAATTTCAACTATTATCAAGTTTTTCCATAATTCATTCACGATATTATCAATGAAAAAATACATTCGATACATTCAAAATTTTAATATATATTAGAAATTGTACATAGCCACAAATAATGTTAGAATGGTAATACAAGCCGGTTTGCTGTAACCATCAACACATGCCGTTAAGTGATGCGCATAGTAACCTTATGTCATAGCACAGTTATATAAGTCAGTTAATTGTATATCAAGTTAATATAAGTATTCAGCCCACCAAATTGTTCTTTAATTATCAACGCAAACCACCTATCATAGCAACAAATACATTGAAAAATAACTTTGCAATGATTAAAATTATAAAGAAACCGCATTGTCTAAATAGTTTGATGCAATATTCCATTTTCAGAATAATAATTATCCATTTAGTTATGACAATAGTAAAATGGTAATGATTCTTTACTGTGGTATGATATCCAGCGCAAATCACATTTATATTTGATGTGAAAGTTACAGTATTTCCACAAACGTGCCCATAAGTGGACTAATCAATCAGAAAGGACAGCAATATATGTAGACTAATTTTAAATTTTATTAAAAACTTTGGCTGTGTTGTTAAATATTTATTATAATGTGTTTATTCTGTTGTTTCATATTGTTTTTATTTATGCGTTGTTACCACGTAATAATTTTATTAACACTTAGTATTTCGATAAGCATAAAATAATGTTAACAAGAAATTATTGATGACATTATAAATCAAAATGTAGCCTCAAGTGTAATGATCTACTAAATAAGCATCTAATAAAAAAATTCGACCGTGAGCAATTGATGTAAGATATAATAACTTTCTCTTAATGCATATTTTAATATATGATTCAATATGACATATTTTTGTTTTTATTTTGTTTTAAATTGATTTTAAATAATAATATAATACAAATTATATAATATTTTCAAATATAGTTGTTTTTATCACAAAATAATTAATTCAATTAAAAACTTTGTCCAATTAGTTAAATTGCTTAGAAACTCGGCGCATCCACAATTAAACTTGAAAATTTAATCATTTAATGAATTTAAAAAAAATTCTGAATACTAAATTAATGTTAATCTATATCAACAATAATTTAAAGTATAAAATAAATCTGATACTGATAATTAATAAAACATTCACTTGCATATTAAGAAAATATATAATAATCATTCATTTTTGTTAATATTTTTATATACTTATATATTTCTGTATCAATTCTTAGGAAAAATAATATGTTTGTATTATTTAATTTAGAGAAGTTTTGATTTAATTTATTCAAAATATAATTATTACCAAACGGACTTTGAGAATTTTTATTAGTAATAATAATATTTATTAGTTATAATACAACCAAAGGGCTATCGACCTAAATCTTTCCGCCCAGAGACACAAAAAACATAAATTGTCTCAATAAATCATACAAAAAAAATGCATTCGCAGCAACACTGCGCGATTTTCTGCATTATTTTATGAGTTAACTGTATGGTCATGTATTGTTATTGGCCTGTGAATTCTGTTTAGGTAGACCACACTACTTTTTATTAAGTGGCCTTACTTTAGTGTTAGGTATACACGGTATGGGTTTTGTTTGCCTCTTCGGACATTTGGAAGACCATGCAGCATGATCCTCCGCCATACATCGGGGCGGAAGTGGCGAAGTGCACGGTTTGTCGGATGTTGCATTTGGTCTTGTTCGCACATGCGTCCGTTGCGTGAGTGAATTTCTGACACCTGGCGACAGGCACAGATATAGGAGACGCTGGAATGCTCTCTGCTGTAGGGAAGTGATTGATCATATAGAATAAGCCCTCATGTAGGAGTCTCTGGAAGGACGACGCGCACTTTGTAATAATGCCCATCTGTAGGTTGGTTGTCTCGTCGCACTGGATACGATTCTCTTGCAGAACCTGTGTTCCACCGCAGATGACTTGAGTTGCTCGCTAATTTCAGCGTCGGTAATGTCCAGGCCCATCCTTGTGAGGATACAAGATAGCAACGCGTTGTGGCCGTGTTTCTTTTGGCTCCTTCGGAAGAAGGCTCTCGACGAAGAACAATGTGTGGCCACGATCCCGCATTAGATACGCAATGACCACAGCCTTAAGGTTGTCTGACTTCAAAATGAAGCCTGTCTTCGTTTCCAGAATAACGTGCTTTCGGTCCAACCTCGACCACAATTTAGATAGTTGCGAACTCGTTGTCGCTTCGCGCACGTTTATCTAGAAAACATTCAGAGATTTTTTGTTTGCAAAATACTTTTTATCAGTTAAAATAGCAAGTTCTTGTGGCGTTTTGAAGACCTCGACTCTGCCATCTTTGGTTTTCGTTGTAGTAGTTTTTTTGCGTATTCTTTCTTCGGTCTTCCGCGCTTCCCTGCTCCCAAATGGAACCCGTGACCTCCGAAGGGCAAGATGATGAATCGGTGCCCTCTGCTTCCCGCTCCATGGTCACAAGTATGAACTGAGATCACACAGCACACACTTGATTCCAAACGAAGCCAAAAAAAACAGAAATATTTCTTATCACAATGAAGCGAATCGAATCATGTCCTGAATAGAATTGAAAATAAGATTGTAGAAATTAATTGAATTTGTAATTTATTGTTACAAGAAATATGATTATTACAATGCAATAAAAATATTTTATAATAAATAAAAGCAATTATTTCATGAAATATTTCTTTAAAAATTGTACTTTCATAATTCAGAAATCATAACAATATTTTGTCGAGAATTATAATATTTAAGATGACCTTAAAATGAAAAATTGTCTTTTTTGAAAACTGCAATATAATCAATTCAATCAGGTACTTTATTTCAAATAAATAACGAAGATAGGAGCTAACGTGTATTCATTTCTAGTTTTGACTTAACAGATACAAGATGTTGTCACTCCTGCCATATAGAAAGCTGGAAACATTGGAAAATGATATATTAATGTGTCAAATGAAAATCGATATACAGATTGAAATGAGACAAGGTAAACGTTGCAGGGGTACATTCCAAGGGGTGGTAATACCATCCGAAGATGAGCTGATACCATGCAAAATATTGACTTCCCCGGAAAGTGTTAATGCCTGGATAGATAATATAATTAAGTTGGAGATTAATGTTTGGACAGTGTTCAGAGAAGAGATGGTGAAGTTTATTTCCATCACGAAAGACTACGGTAAGTATTTTAGCAACGATTTGAGTGGATTCGACATCCCGAGAACAAGTTTATTTTTGGATTCTATAATTGACATGACGGAAACGGCAAATCTACAGGTTATTTTTGCGACAACCGTCAAGAATCTAATCCGTGATGACGTGAAGGAACTGAACGATGTAATGGAAATGATTGAAAACCTGGAAAAATATTTTAAATTATATGTAAGGAAACATCATAATTTCATAGTAAAATGCTCAAGGTGGATGGAATTTTTAACAAGGAACCTGTTGGAAATACAAAATACTCTATAGATCTGAATTATTGTTTTTGTTACCAGTTTATTGTACCACTTATGTTATTTTTTATTTTATTATTGCTAGCATTATATAATTTTTATATTTTGTTATAATAAATATTATCATATTTTTATAATTACTATTGTTTTTCTCTTACAATAGTGAAAAATTAATTCCTATTTCATAAATAGATAGCGTTTGAGGTTTGTTAGATTTTACTTCTAGCTAATAATATTAAAAGGATCTAAGGAAACCACTACAAGATGCAGGCTTTATTTTGCCATTTGTCGTTGTCAAGTAAAGCAACGGAAGCAGCTCGCAATTTTTGTGACGTGTACAGAATACATTCTATAGTTCAAAGAAACGCTCAAAATTGTCAGTCAAGATTTCCTTCCCAAGAAGACAATGATCTGCGTCTGGTGAGACAGCGAATGTGTGATCTATTAGAACAAGACAGTCGACAAGAAATGCTATCTTGCCCAACTTTATTCATAACATAGCGCGCCCAATAACCGTAAATATCGTCAAGGAGGCTCTATATAATTTCGAATGGGATGTATTAATGCATCACACAGAAGAGAGTATTGTTTGCCAACGATGAAAATTTATTAAATTGTCTTAAAATTAATTTATTTGAAAAATTTAAGCAAAAGTTGACTACTCTGTCATTAAATTCATATCGTATTTGTTACAATCAATTATTTCATTCAATTAATTTTGCTTTCTTTATTAATAGGGTAAAACTTTATTATTTTAACTTAATGTATTAAATATTTATTTAAACTTAATAAGTTATTGACAATTGCATTTTTTGCGTTTTTTTATTTATTTTTTCCTGCAAATTTGTGTGTTGTATTTTGTTAGGCGTAAGGTCCGGAGTGTATGAAGGATGAAGTGGAAAGATGACATGACCATGTCGATCGGCAGGGAATAGTCTGGATTTGAACCGGCGTCCATGGGACTCTGGTTCAGTCGCCCTACAATAAAATTAAAGATAATATTACAAAAACACAATTATATCTTTAAAAAGTGTGCCATAAAAATTAACAGCTTTAACAAGAATTTAAGATGTCCTTAAAATGAAATATTTTATTTCTTGAAAACTGCAATATTTTAAAAAAGTTCTTAAAAGAAAAAAATCCTTCACAGGAAATATTCTAGATTACCGAGAACTAATATTATCAAGTATTTTTTTTTTTCAACTAAATACCGAAAGTAAGAGCTAACGATTCACTTCTAGTTTTGACTTAACACAAAATGTTTTCACATTGACGACGGCATGACCCACCAGTGGGTCATTAATTATAAATAATAGTTTTGTTGCTATGTACGCCACTGATTTTGACTGAGTATAACCTCAAATATCTTAAGTCAATTACAAAATTCAAACGCCAATACATTTCTTATACATATTTTAATCATTTAATTGAAAATACAATATGATTATCATAATCAGAAATTATTTCTGTTTCTAAAAAAACATTGCTAATTTATTAAAAAATAATGCAAGCTTAGAGCTTGAATATGCACAAGATGATATATTCGACTTGAATAGAAATTGCAATGATCAATTATTATTGCTTATTATAAAACCTATATTACTTTTTCTGCGTTTCAACAAAATTCGAACCCTGCTGAGTATATTTATTGAATATAACAAAAATAAAATAGGATTATTCAATAATACAAATGTTTGTTTATTTTTATGAACATCTTCAAAACATTTTATACACAGTGTCGGTTGATCATAACACTGTGCGCAATATGTAACAACTTTTGCTTTTTTAGCGGCAGTTGCACTACCTTCCCGTGAAGATATTGTTTTATAACATTCTCTACATCGCTTTCTTGCCTGTTTTGCTGTACCAGAGTACGATTCAATGAAATGTTTTTGATTTGCTTGCATCTCCGTATCGTCATCATTCATTAGTTTATCAATAATTTTTTCTCGAAATTTTAACAAATCAGATTTTTTGCCATTTTTTATGTATATACCAAGCATTTGCAATTGACGTCAAATTTATTCTATTATAATTTTTTTATACCACTTAACACTTCTTCGTAAACAGTTATAATACGATGTTATCTGATCAGAAACATCAACTCCTTGCTTTGAATTATTATAATCAAGCATCAGGCTTCAGTTTTCCGCTCTTGCCTTCAATTATAGCACACATATGTTTGTTGCTGGTCGTTAACATGGAAACTGACCTTTTGTCAGTCCATTTTAGAAATTTTACCCCATTTTGGTTCATCAAGCTTAAAATGGCTCCTCGTTTTTGTTTTGCTTGGAATCTATATTCATGTCGATTAATGTATCTTCCTGAGCATATTCTAGCTCAACATGTCTCTTTTTCGTAATAAGAATCCATTCTCTATTATCAGAACTTTGTTCATCAGTACCCTCGTCTTCTGTAGTACTAACACTCATCTCTTCTAAAGACATTGTGTTGATTTAAAACTTATAGATTTTTCCGAAGAACTATCGTTATTTTTATTATAATTCATATTTATTATCAAAATAGATATTTTCTTCCAGCTGAAACAACAATTGCAAAACCCTATTCCATACACGAATAAGCGTGAGGCAGAAATAACTCCCACATTTCAAAGGAGGGATTGAAAAACGATATGAAATGGTAGAAAGACTCGATGCTCACCCGATGTATATTTTTTTTCTACGGTGCAACACTAAATTTTAGAGAAAACCCTCGACTTGTAGGAGTATTTCAAAAAGGACTGTTTCAAAAAATAAGATTTTTTTTTCTTACCAGAAACAATATATTTGCTTCGATTGTTAGGAGCTGAGCAGCGGCAGGTAGAATTGAATGAAAATTTCAATATTTTTCCCACAATTGTTATAAATTGCTTCAATATCATTAAAAAGTGTATAAGAAATTTAAACGTTTAAAGGTTATAATTGACGTAAGATATTTGACGTTTCACTCACTCCATAGGCGACCACGAAAAATTTCCTGGGGGCAGGCAATCCGAAAAGCGACGTCCATAACGTGTTAAGATTCTATAAATGACATGGCGAGCACGGTAAATTTACAGAAAAATATTTGAAATTTTTTGTATGGAAACATGTTAATCTCATAAGGAAATGCACAAGGTGGATGGAATTTTTAACAAGGAATTGTTGGAAAAACAACTATAGATATTCTTCATTACATTTATACATTTATTCTACATTATTATTACTAGTATTATATAAATTTGTTACAATTTTTATTTGTTTATATGCTATGACTGTTACAATAAATATTATCATATTATTATAATTATTATTGTTTTGCTCTTACAATAAAGAAAAAGTTATTCCGATTTTCATAAATAAATACCATTTGACATTTGATAGATGTTGCTAATAATATTAAAAGGATCTGAGGAAACGATTTGAAGAAAAATCATTAGAAAAAATTAATTTCACTTCAATTTTATTAAAGCAATGATATGCATTATTAAATTTATTAAAAAATATTTCTTTTATAGATTTTTACAAATGCGTTACTTATGTCATCAAAGATTTTAAATTTCAAATAAAAAAACACTTATTGCACGAAATTTCTTTTTCAGAACATCTAATTAATAATTGCTACATATAAAAATAGCTGCAGGAGCTTATAGTGTACCTGAATGTACTGTGTTGTGTAAACAATATTTCAAAAGAATAACTATCGATTTTTTTGTATATGCAACAGAATTCCTCTTATAAATATCATCCACTTTGAGTAATTTTTTACGAAATGAAGATGATTCAATTCAAACAGTTGAAAACTTACTTCCAGGTTTATAAACATTTTCTTCAGATCTTCCAGGTCCTTCACGTCTTCGCGGATTTTATCCTTGGCAGTTATCG